ATTTCTTTTTTTTAAAATCCTAGTTTTAAGCGGGTTTTAAAAAAAACTACTTTTTTTTATTTTTTCGTAAACCGTGTGTCAGAGATTGAATGTAAGCTTTGTATTTCCTGGTCTTCGAGCAGAAAATACAAAAAGTGGTTGTAATGAGGGGCAACTTCTATAGAGAATAGTGGTTTTATGTAATATGGATCAACAAAAAACTAAAGACCTAAACAGATGGTAGAAACCAGCAAATCTTATTTGAAGGCTACTATTTCTGTCAGAGTTATCACAAGAACTCCGGGACATTTGAAAAATCGGGTATAAATCTCTGAGCCGGTGCTTTATGTTTGCAATTTTGCATTATAATTAGGTAATTATGTATGGCAAGGATGAAGACCAGAAATAAACCGGTCAATGCTTGTGAATTGGCAAATAATTTGAAAATGTTACTGAAAACTACCAGATTTATAGCAATAGGCGATTAAAAATGGCTCTGTGAATTAGTTTTTGACCCATAATACAAGATGTAAGACAAGCCTAATTATTAAAGTTTTATTTAGCACCTAAAACTCATTTTTGAACTATGAAAATAACCATTTTTAATGAGTGTTTTTGTAATATATACTGATGAACTCCGTGACAGTTATCACAAGAACTCCTGAACAAGTTATCATAAGAACTCCATCCTTCGTGTAACACTTCCTCCCCCGTGAAAGGGTGCCAATGCTGGATAGATATGTGTTTCATTTTATCGTAAACAGTGCAAATATTTGAAATTAAGATGTTCACAACAACCTCACTGCTGAGTAACGATTTATATCATTTTGTTTTGTTTTGTGTACAGCCTGGATAATATACAAATTTATCTTTTGGAACTTACTTTCGATGATTACCTTGACCAGCGAAAGTATCTCGTTCTGATCAGTTTTACAGGTGTAAGTGTCTTCAAACGACTTAGTCATTTTCTTGATAAACAGATTCCACTCATTCGGTGCAGGTTTCATAATTTCTATTTCAGTATGGTGTGTGTACACTGTTGTACCGGAAGTCAGCCAGCCATCTTTGTCGCTATACCAGCGAACCTGAAATAAACATGACAGGGTCAGTCGGAACTTTTCACCTTTTTCCGTCCGTTTCCGTCGGAACTTTTCCGCCGTTTCAATCATATTTTAATAACTTCAATAGTATTAGATTATAAGAAACTCGTGAATAAAAATTAAGTGAGGGAAATAACACAAACCAAAACAACCAACTAAATGAGAGAACAAAGAAAAACAAGAGGGCTTTTATTTGAACAGACTTGGTAGACACCCATAAGAAGATGTTTCATGCTAAACATCTAAGTTCTAGCTCATTGGGTTTTTTAAAAGAAGATTTTTTAAGTTTTTACTATACACATATAGTTAAAAAACAATGACACCCCTGGGGGCAGGGCCAATTTTGACCCCAGGGCTTTTATTTGAACAAACTTTGTAGATATTTACTTAAAGATGTTTCATGTATAATATCTAAACTCAGCTATTTGGGTTTTTTCAAAGAAGATTTTTAAGTTTTTGCTATACACATATAAGGAAAATCAATGTGACCCCGGTGCGGGGCCAGTTTTGACCCCAGGGCTTTTATTTGAACATACTTGGTAGACACCCATTAGAACATGTTTCATGCTAAATATCTTAGCTCTAGCTCTTTGAGTTCTTTAAAAGAAGATTTTTTAAGTTTTTACTATATGCATATAGGGAAAATCAATGACCCCTGGGGCGGGGCCAATTTTGACCCCAGGGAGCTTTTATTTGAACACACTTGGTAGACACTCACTAGAAGATGTTTCATGCTAAATATTTAGCTCTAGCTCTTTGGGTTCTTTAAAAGAAGATTTTTTTAAGTTTTTACTATATGCATATAGGGAAAATCTATGACCCCTGGGACGGGGCCAATTTTGACCCAGGGCTTTTATTTGAACAAACTTGGTAGACATTTACTAGAAGATGTTTCATGCCAAATATCTAAGCTCTAGCTCTTACGGTTCTTTAAAAAGAAGATTTTTTAAGTTTTTACTATATGCATATAGGGAAAATCAATGACCCCACCCGGGGCGGGGCAATTTTGACCCAGGGCTTTTTTTGAACAAAATTGGTAGACACTCACTAGAAGATATTTCATGTCAAATATCTTAGCTCTAGCTCTTTTGGTTCTTTAAAAGAAGATTTTTTAAGTTTTTACTATATGCATATAGGGAAAATCTATGACCCCCTGGGGCAGGGCCAATTTTTGACCTCAGGGCTTTTATTTGAACAAACTTGGTAGACACTCATTAGAAACATGTTTCATGCTAAATATCTTAGCTCTAGCTCTTTGGGTTCTTTAAAAAGAAGATTTTTTAAGTTTTTACTATATGCATATAGGGAAAATCAATGACCCCTGGGGCGGGACCAATTTTGACCCCAGGGCTTTTATTTGAACAAACTTGGTAGACATTCACTAGAAGATGTTTCATGCCAAATATCTAAGCTCTAGCTTTTACAGTTCTTTAAAAGAAGATTTTTTTTAAGTTTTTACTATATGCATATAGGGAAAATCAATGACCCCCGGGCCGGGGCCAATTTTGACCCCAGGGCTTTTATTTGAACAAACTTGGTAGACACTCACTAGAAGATGTTTCATGCCAAATATTCTTAGCTCTAGCTCTTTGGGTTCTTTAAAAGAAGATTTTTTTAAGTTTTTACTATATGCATATAGGGAAATCAATAACCCCCTGGGGCGGGGCCATTTTGACCCTAGGGCTTTTATTTGAACAAACTTGGTAACACACTCATTAGAAGATGTTTCATGCCAAATATCTAAGCTCTAGCTCTTACGGTTCTTTAAAAGAAGATATTTAAAGATTTTTTCTTTCGGTTGCCATGGCAACCAGAGTTCTGCATGAAAATAGAATTCTTTGAACAATCTTGATAGAGCTTCAATACAAAGAGTATTCCTGCCAAGTTTCATTAACATTGGCCTTGCGGTATCATAGAAGATGTCCTTAGAATATTTAAAATGTGGACGGACGACGGACGCCATTTGGTTGGCCATCCTAAAAGCTCACCTGCACTTTGTGCAAGGTGAGCTAACGAGTCATTCTAAATGAAACAAGACTTTCTGCACGAGTATATACTTACGTTGACATTTTCGCTCTCATGCATTGGCAGTCGGCATGGTAATATCACAGCCCGGTTAAGAGTGGCAGGTTGGGTGTAGTTTATGATGTCACGACCGGAAACACCCCATAAACTCCCTGCAAAACAATACTATTACATTTTTTTATGTATTAATAGTAAGAAAATTATTTTGAGACATATATACAGTACCATAACTTTTTAGACGATAGTTTCTAAAAGGCGGGTTTTACCAACATGTCAACTGCACACCCTCTCAGTCCGAAAATAGCACGGACTTTGTCTATTATATCAACAGACATTTGGTTTAAATTTATTTATTTAAGCTCGATTGCGAAACATGTTCTTGCAACTTATATTAATCACTTTCGAGCCAGCGTCCTGGAACCGATCCGTACAGGTGTCATATGAAGAAAATGGTCGTAACCTGATACCGTAATGGCTCGAACCCATGATCCCCGGGGTTAAGATGCAGATACCTAAACCCATAGGCCACCGCTTCCCTTTTGGTAAAGCAGGGGGTCGATTGAATAGCGGTGCGATACTCCTTTAAGCGTAAAGAGTTAAGAGTGCTTCTTTGCGAATACAGTCAGGGGGTAAAACCCCACTTCAGGTCTCTACAATGTAGGTTGAATTTGGCGCCAAAATTACAAAGCCATGATGAACCTTTCCGGTGTTTGCAGTTTTATGTTAATTGGCAACCTTGTTATCCAATCGCTACAGTGAGATAATACATAGCCACTGGTTGACCTGGTTTGCACAAAAGAACACGTGCTTATGTTTGTGATGCTGTTTGTGAGCAGTTGACCTAGCAATGAATGGAAAAGGTGTGGCTAAATGTTCCGCTACGAAAAATCGGAACGGTCCAACGAAGTGAAGTGACTCTCATACAATAATAATTATTACATTTCTCGTATTTAGATAATTTTGCGTTCTTATTTTTGTAAACATTTCATAGGTCTTTTAAGCAGGTAGACATGTAAATATGTTTTTAAAGGCACGTTATGCCTAAGAAACGTATAATTTTTTAATTTTTTTTTCAGAATGTTAAGAAAGAGCTTAACATGAGTTTCATAACGTTTAAAATGTTTTTAGAGATGCTTTCCGCCTAAAAGTAGTGCTGATTTGAAGATTATTTGTAATTAAAGTAGCAAAATGTAAACAAAGTAGTATTTTGAATTCCATGAGCGACATAAGGTTCGTACAGTCTTACAAGTGCTTAAATTGAAATTTAAATTATTTCTTAAAAAGTGCTTAAAAGTCCATAAAATTTGAATGCTGTTTGAAAAGTGTTTTAAAATAGCTGCAAATATGCTTGAAAATGATTGAATGACATAGTGTTGGAAAAAATCGACAGTTAACAAATAATTATAATAAAAATCAACGATCCAATTCAGAACCAAGAAAAAAAATTATGAAGATTAAATTTGCTGATCTTACCAGAATAATTTAGTTGCACTTTTATGAATACATATAATAAATGCCAATTATGCTTCGGAAATTCTTTAAGTTTTATTTCTCAAAAGTTTCTTAATATTGCTGTCAAAAACTTACTCATTGGCCATTTACCTAAACCACCTTTTTATATCTTGCTTTTTGGCAATTGACATTACGCCACCTGTCAATCAAGCTGGCAGGGGTCTTACAGATAAGTACGGAATTCCATAAACGACAGCCTACTGCTTACTGTCAACTGCCTACTGTCAACTGCCTACTGTCAACTGCCTACTGTCAACTGCCTACTGTCAACTGCATACTGACATGTCAACTGCTTAATGCCTACAGGCGACTGCTTAATGCTTACTGTTAATTGATAAGTGCTAACTGTCATACCTGTTAAATACCCGATTAATTTCCTGCAAGTAAATGTCGGCTTTGTACGTCCTTCTCACAATGTGTTTATAATTACAAAGGGGGGCCTTTTGCAAGAAATTACACTGTATCATAGATGAAGGCTTTCACTGATAAAACTTTGGAATTCGTTACATTTATACATGTATAATTTTCGTGTTACTAAGCAGAGAGATAGGTATATATCTTTGCATGCATTGGGACTTTTCCAAATCATGGAACTGTAAACTGTATAAAATGCTATCAAACCAAATATTTCTGTCATTAAATCTCGTTCTCTAATTTTAAGCTACCAAATATAATTGGTTTCTAAATTAAAACGTACAGGTATATCTCTGATAACGAACACGCTTGTAAATGACAGTTATTTAGATACATCTACCATATAACATGTATATTATAATATTTGTTTCTTAAATGATAATGATCACACCCTATGACTTTAGAGCTTAAAGTTGTTTTTGACAGGAGTACTTGTAGTTGTTCGTACATTTAGATTACAACGGTCAATTGTTAGCATTATGAAAATAATGCTACAACGTTTTGTTTAAAAATTATCTAGAGCATGGTGCTCAAAACATAGATCTAGAACTTTGAAAGTGGATATTCATGCATAATATATTCGTTGATTTTCAGACAAAATTATTTATACAAGTGACGTCTTGGATTAAGAGTTGTGTACTCTGATAAACGTACTGGGAGAATATACACACGTCATGGTCCAAATCATACACGGAACCGTTTAGTTCTATCTAAAAAGTTAATCCTTGTTCTGGTGATGGTATAATACCTTCATTTTACAAAGCCTTAGATTTGGCTCAGGAAAATGTTACTTCGGCAGGAGCATGATGACTAACATGTCAATTATTGTGTTATAATTGGGAAGTCGATGCATAATCAAATCATAAGAAAAGATCTTTGAGTTACATACAAAGTAATGTTAGTATCTGTTTAACGATATGGTTGACTTAATGCCTGCCGCATGTAATGTCTTAGATTTTGCAGTATTGCCTACGTTACATTCTGATTTATTACTGATGAAAAAAAGGCATAAAAAACCACAGGATAAGAAAACGAACTAATCAATATATTGCTGAACGTCCGTCTTGTATTTCATTGCCATAAGAGAATGGTGTTACGATTAACTTGTTAAGTTATTGAAGAAATATATTCGGTTAACTTGCCAGAGCTTCAGATATATTTTCAAAGATTTCTTATGGAACTGATATAACATACTCTACATCTTCCTTATTCATAAATTTTGGAATCATATGAATTTAAAATTGATGGACTAAGACACTTTTTAAATGTGGACAATGTTGAATATTGTTACCAACATGACTGTTACAACATTCAACAAACTTTGCTTTATAGTTAATATATATATAGCCATCATGTGTGTTTAATTTGCATTTAACAGTAATGTAGACTTATCATTTTAATTTGTCAATTTTTTTTACCGGGGAGCTAAACATAAACAAAATTTCAAGAAAATTATGATAATTTTATTTTTCAAGATCTTTTTTATTTATAATAAAAACGAAAAACAAAATACACTTATTAATTATAACACCACATAAAAATGAGACCTGTAAGCTAATATTTTCTTGAATATACCATTATCTTAAGGTGATTCCGCTTTGTCAGCCATGTTTGTTTTCACAAAGTCTGTCCAAAGTGAAAGTAGGCCAAAATTCATATAACAACAAAGCTCACATTGTTATATGATGAGCCCTTTGCAAGTACACTTCCAGTTCTATGTTTTAAAGACTATTTTAAACAAAAATATAAATGATAACAATAAGAAAATTTACCTTGAATGGGCTAAATTTCTGAAGATCAAAAACATTCTGTTGCAAAGTTTTATACACATTTCATGAATGGCAAAATCCTTTTTAAAGTCTGTTTTAGTGCCTACAAAAGCTATTTTTTGCAGAAAGTACAAAAAGCTTTAAAAAACATAAATCTTAGGGAGTAGTTTATCTGACCTTGAAAAAACATGGCCACCATGACATGTGTAAAAAGTAGTACCATGAAAATAAACATCATTTACCTATTTCTTGTGTACATGACAAACAGACACACTTCACTGTTGCACATAAAAAGGTTAGATTTTAAAGTTTGATTGTGTTTTCATTTTAATTGTAGTTCATAAGGCTATAAATGATGATTGTTTTCTTGCACTACTTTTTTACAAAAAATAATGGAGGCCATATGCTTAGAAGGACATGAGATACGGATTTATTTGGAGTTTAGTTTTGAAAGATTTTTGTATTTGCTGCAAAAAATAGCTTTTGTAGGCACTAAAATATAAACCTGAATGTGTACTTTCAAATGGTTCATCATTTTACAATAACAGCTTTGTAGTTATATGAATTTTTGCCTACTTTCACTTTGGACAGACTTTAGTGAAAACAAACATGGCTGACAAAGCGGAATCACCTTAAATAAAACTTTTGAGACGCCTGTTAAAAAACGTATCTCTAAAAATATTTGCAAAGTTTCGGGGAAAGCAATTAATATAAAAGCATAATTATGATTAAAAGTTCTGTTATGCATAATAATATTATTGTTATGATATTATATTAATGTAAATACATTCTGCAATATAAAGTGATATACACGAAATAAGAAAGGTAACTTAGAAATGCTTCATATCATACATAGAAGATGTATAATATCACGATGTTTTAGAACTGTTTTCTTTTGTTGTCAAACCTCCAAAAACCTGACAAAAACTTTCATTGGATGATTCTGGCAAATACGAAAGCTGATTTTCTCATTGGTTTCATATGCGGTAATTGTAACTAAAAAGGAAAACAAAAATATACATCCTAAAAGTTCACTTTTCAGTGTGTTTGTTAAGAAAGCAAAGCAGACAAGATAATTATAACAATTATAAAAAAGAAAAGACTTTTTAAACACATCAAAAATTATATTGTGACATAAACATGGTCATTTTATCTATCACAAAGGTTTTTTTTATAAGTAAATTTACATGATTAAAATTTTCAATAGTACAATTGGATTTAAACAAGAGGATAACGATGGCTTTTCATAAAAGTAAAATAAGCTGACCCGACTTCATTTTTGAACTTTTTTCCCAATGAAATATTGAACTTTTTGAAACAATTTGAATGTGGGAAAATCAGTTCACTATGCGCATGGATTTTAGTATTATCTGATTATTAAACAACGAACTTTAGACATATTCCATCTGGTATTCTTCAATTAATAACTCGTCTTGATTAGATACAAATTGTTTAGTTAAACACTCATTTGAATTTGAAAATTATTTGGATTTTATCGTTGAACCGAAATTTAGGGTAGCATGATTATCCAAATTTCATTTATCTTCTCATGAGTTGGCCATTGGACGTGGACGACATAGAAATATACCAATAAATGAAAGATTATGTAGAAATTGTAATGCCGGTGTTATAGAAAATAAGTATGAATTTTTATTTGTATGTTCTAAATTTCAGGACTTAAGGTCAAAATATATAAAGAGACTTTAATTATTATATGTGTTAAACTAAATAGAAATTTGTTAACCTAATATGTGCAAAATCAAAATCAATAATTTATATCAGCAAAATATATATACTATGCAAACTTGCGAAATATAATAGTCATCTTTAATGCAAATACATATATTATTCATGCATTATTCTGTTCTGAAACCATGTCTTTGTATTGAAAATTGTAATTATTGCTATGGAACATGTCGTTTGTAGGTGCCATGTTTGTCTTTGTTTATGCTTTCAAAAGCCGAGTTAAACTCGTCCATAAGAACCAATACATTTATGTATTCCTCTTCATCTTCCATTGTAATTTCAATATTTTCCCACATATGTGTTGGTTCTGTTACTTGTCTGTGAAGTCAAATGTACGATGGAAGTATATGCCGTTCTTCCTTAGAAATGTTTCTGTCAGATTGATCATCCTCTGTACTAGAATAAAATTGGTTCTATAATTAACCTTAAAAATATCAAGTGTACAATAAACTTAACAAAATGTACTACATAACATCTAATAAGGAATTACACATTTATACGCCACAACTAACAGCCAATGAAAACTGAACCAAAATGATCTCGTAAATGAACTCACACATTTTTGATAATGACAGACAAGAATGTTTAGCCTGAAATACACCAGTGATTTCACCAGTATATTACAGAATCTGATGTTCTTCTAAAAATGTATTACATTGTCAAATAAAAGTTTAATAAACTATAAAAACGTATGCAAAAAAACAGTAGGTGTTGACATAATGGTCCAGATGTCCGCCTCTCAACAAGGTATAGAGGGCTCAAGCCCTTCAATGTTGAATGTTGAACACATATTCATTGTGAATAATTTATTAATAAGTTGATTACCCTATTATGAGTCCTATATTTGACAATTTATCAATCACCTGTGCAATGAGGCACGTGGAATCATTTCATAACATAATCAAAGCAGTGTGCAAGAGTGGGACTACACAAGTCATTGCAATGAATTCGAAATTACAAATTATTAAGATTATTAATTATATAATCATCCTTTTTGATTTACTTACCATTGTTTTCCGTTAAATTTACCTAGGAGATAGTTCAACAAAATGGCGGGTGAACCTGTGTCAACATTCGGAATACTTCGTAATTGATCCATACATTTTCTTAGACTGTCACTTAGCAGTAAGCAGTAGGCAGTGAGCTTAGCAGTAGGCAGTAAGTAGTAGGCTGTCGTTTATGGAATTCCGTAGTGGTAGCGATAACAACCGATTATCCAATAATATGGCGCCTATCTGTCACCATGTCGTATATATCTCAAATAAATTGGTCGTTCTTATTGAAAACCTTACCTTTTTCAGTATAAAACTCGAAAATTATACAGAAAAGGATAAATAATTTCATAATTAGCTTTAAAACATCTTCAGCGATGGTAGATCATGGAGGCGGCCATTTTAGTACAGTGTAAACTAATAACGAATGAAAAGTGACGCTTTCGGAACAGAAATTCCCAACTCCGTTAATACTTTAAAAATGCAATTTTAAGCAATGCATTGACAGTTCAGATCTGTATCTGTATCTGTGAGGGTACGTCGTAGAGACCAAAATCTGGCTTTAAAACGACGGTGTAGGGAGTGCGCCTTAGTCACAAAGTTTTATAGAGTTTTTAAATTGTTGAACTGTTGATGAACACAATTGAGAGTCACTTAATTTATTCCAGTCTAACACTGTTCTGATGAAGAAAGAATTTTTGTAGTTTTCTGTTTTTACATATACTGGTTTGTAACACTTTTGATTATTACACACAGATTTTTCCACAATGTTATCACTTATATGGTCTTTATATGATTTAGCTCTTACAGATCGTCAGGAGTTAGGTGTTCCCGTATGTTGCCCTTCCACTACCTTATACATGAAAGTAAGCCGGTGTAGTCTTCTGCGCTCTTGGAGGCTTGGTAATTCCAATTGTTCCAGCATTGATGTAACGCATCCTGGATCCCTAGAAGTATAGTTATTAGTAATAAATCGAGCGGCTTGCCTTTGTATACGTTCAAGTTTATCAATTTCGTTTTTGGTATAAGGGTCCCAGATAGTGCATCCGTATTCTAATTTGGAGCGGACTAGGGCTAGGTAGGCATTTTTGCGGCATGGTTTAGAACAATGGCGTAAGTTCCTTCTTAAGAATCCAATAGATGAGTTAGCTCTTTTACAGATGTTACTAATATGTGTTGACCATTTCATGTCATCCGAGAAAGTGATACCAAGGTTAGGATTGACTTGAACTTGTTGAAGTATGTTGTTATCAATGTTGTAGAAATGCATCGATTTTGACTTCGAACTCAGCAGGTAACATTTTTTTGAGTTAAATTTCATCCCCCATGTAGATGCCCAGGTTTGGAGATTGTCTAGGTCTTTTTGAAGTTGGAGATGGTCTTTTTGGGACTTGATCTGGCGATATAGTAAACAATCATCAGCAAACAACCTCTCACTTGTGATGTTACATGGTCCGGAAGATCGTTAATATGTAGTAAGAAGAGCAATGGTCCGAGCACTGTACCCTGTGGGACTCCAGAACCCACATTTACAGATGCAAAAAAAGATTTTTTTTTAAACCTTTTACAACCGGAAGAAAAACATTATAATTTTATTCACGTTTTATTAACCGTTTTAAGGCGTATTTTAAGACCAAAAAATACCGATTTTGAAAATTGAAAAAATGATGTTTAAAACAGAAAACACCTATGGAAACCGCTTGTTATCGTTACTTACACCTTTTCTTAACAAAGTGGTACCATAATTAACAAGATAAAATGTTGCGACGAATAGCGACAAGCATTTTAATGTTTCGGGGATTTCCGGTAAATGTCGTTAATTTACGTTGCATGTCGAACGTTGCCGAAGTATGATCGTAGGATTTCCAAGAGTTATGTTTCTTGATGACTCTCCGTTTTGGAGAAACGTGAGCGTGCGAGAGTTGAACAGCTGATACGCTACAGAGAGAGAGAGAAAAAAAAGCTATCGTCTTTAGCATGTGAGTTAAGAAGGAACACGAAAAAAGTTAAATGGGAAATTGTTTATATATGATATTTGTTTCATTCAGTACATTTTTTATGACATGACACTATCTTTTTTATCATATTTCCATATACTTTCATTAGTAACTAGCCCCGCCCACTATTTCAGTTATGTTCTAAAGTAAAAAAAAATATTTAAGACCGTTTTAAATAATATTTTAATAAACTTGAAATAAACAAATTTGATGACATTTGAAATATTTTTTCTAACAGGAGCGGGAGTGAAAAATTGGAAGTTATTGTAATTTCTTCAGAAAGTGACTCGGACACATCGATAAATCCCTCACAGTCATTATTTAAAAATTATGTAAGTATAAATATGACATGTTATATATTGTTTATCTTTCCATTACTTGAAAATGACCTGTCACAACTTTATACCTGGACGGGAGATGCCCTTGACCCACAAATGGACGATGGCAAGGTCGTAGGCACAGGCTTTGGCTACAGACAATACATATACAAAGAACATAAAATAAAAGGAAATAAATGAAAAACACTTAAAAACATATATATACTTCTGTACGTATCAGTCAAATTTCCAGGCCATTTTTAGTTGGGTTCTGCCATTCTTAATTTAACCAAAAATATAATTAGAGAAGTATTACGGAAAAGCAACATAAGTAAATTTTCATTTTAAGAATAATTGTCTTGGTAATCTAATTGAAAATGGATGAGGTTCAATAAAATCAAATAACAAAAGATCAATACTTTTTATCTGACTTCCTTGTACATAGGCTTTGCCTTAATTTATATTATATAAGGGTGGTTTCATTATACAACAATTTTAAAAAATATATTTCTATTTATACTTTTAATTTGAAAATCACTTATTTAACAGTACACTATATAAATCTCAGTTAAACTACATTAAAACATGACAATAAACAGCCATTGCAATCAGGACTTAATATTGAATGACTTTAAATGTTACATATTGTATTACATATTTTTCAGAAGAAAGTAAACCGTGTGAACAAAAATCAGTCGCCTTTGTATGAAGAAGAAAGCGACAGTACCCAGCCACCTTCAGACATTTCAACCCAGCCACCTTCAGATACTGACATCAACAATAATGTAATTAATTTACAATTATTTTTTTCTTTGAAGGCCATTTTCATGAACATTATTATTTTCATATCACAAAACTATTTCATTATAATTATTTCAATTATGATAAATAGTTCTAAAAGCAAAACAATTTGAACCTCAAAAAATGCAAAGATTAAACTCAAAGGTCATTGTTCCTTTGTAAAAGTGTTTTTTTTTACCAAAACATAATCACTGAATTATGTTTAAATGTTCTAGTACTTAATTTTATAATATATAAATAAAATAAAAATTGGAATTTAGTTGTCCAAATTAATATATTTACATATTGTTGATAAAATTATTATTTAATATATTACAGTTGAATAGATACAGTACAGATGAGGATGATGATGAAGAAATATTTGTAGTTTCTTTGACAAAAGAGGTTTAACTCGTAAAATTTAAATCTTTATATATAAAAAAATAGCCTCATTAGATTCTTTTAAGAACAAACTATGACAATGATTTAAGAAACAAATTATTACATAAACTTCAATTATATAATATTATGTACAATGTATGTAAATTTGAGATAATTATTTGTTCAATGATATAATATAATACCATATATTATGATAAAATAAATCATTATTTATGTTTAATAATTCTTTTTTCATTTTAATTTCAAAACTTAGGAAATTGAAAACAGAGATTTGGTTCCAGATTCATACTGTCCATCTTGTGGAGCGTTAAGATATATCAAAAGACCTGCACTGCAGACTGTAAGAAATAATACATCATAATTAATATTTATTGATTTATTATTTGCAACAATTTTAAACAAGAAAATGAATATTATAATATAATACTAAAAAAAATAAGATTATTTTTTTTTAATCCTCTTTATTGATAATCATGAATGTTTGTTGTTTGTTTGGCACAAAAGCATTTTATCTGTCTGCTTTAATTGACTGTCCCTATTATAATTAATACAGGCAATGATTGATTTTGAAATGACTTACATGTGTAGCTCATTAACAGGGTGTGGTGTGTCTTACTATATTTTTACTGGGTTACTAATCCAGTCAGGGGATTTTTACATATTTTGACCTGTTTATGGTAGCTAACATGGGTTGTAAGTGCAATAATTGATAATTGCATTCTTTTGGTAACTTTACAATTTTGTACTTTTAAAAACATTTCCAAATTTTCATGAAAATTAGCATGAACCTGGACAGTTGCTGCTTCAAAGTTCATATTTCATTACACTTGTGCAAACATATATTAATTGATGCATTTTAAAATTACTTGGCCAAACTGTTTAGCACTAGATTAAATATTGAAAAATATGGTGCATGTTGTAATGAAATTTTAAATTTCAGGAAATACATCAAAGCAACAGTGACAGTGCATAGAAAGTTACTTGTAGCAAAATAAAAGGTAAATACAATGGATATATCAAATACTGTTGGTGACCTCATAAAAAAATTTGAAAAAAATGGAAAAGACTTTTGTTTGAAATGGCTAATGGAAAAATCAGAACAGCCTGTAACTAAAGTTAGTTTAAAAAAGAAAATAGAGAAGATAATAAACCAATACAAAAATTTGCAAAAATCTAAAAACAAACATTTCTATGCTGTGAAATTTGAAAATTTCTGTAACCAAAAATTTGATTTTCCAAAGATACAAAAACAGAAAAAGCAAAATGGTGTGGAATTAGAGTTAAATAAATTGAAGACGGAAGACTTTGAAATTGCAAATAATGTCATTATTGGACTTTCAAAAGATTTTGGTAAATGTTTTAAAGAAAATGATGAATTGCTGAAAGAAAACCATAACCTTAAAGAAAATATTAAAATCAGACTTAATACAAAATCAAGACTGGCACAAAAAGTGATAGAAAAGAAATTTATTTAAAAAAGAATAGGATACCTTTCAAATCAATTATTAGAAAAAAATAGATTAATAAAACAATTAAGATCTGCAAAAACATATATACAAAGACAAAAGAATGGACTAAGCCAAAAATATGAAAATGTAAAGAAAGAAAACACTCATTTAAAGGAAAGTATTGAAATTATGAGAAAGGAAATTAGTGTATTAAAGAAAAATAACAATAACCTCCAATCATATTGTGAAAATTTAGAAAATAACAATGATGAAAAGACTTTAAACATGTTTAATAATTCCAAAAATTGTTTTAAAACTGAAACACAAGAGTGTGTATATGACCTTTTAAGTATGAATGTTACGAGCAGCAATATTTCTCGTGTGATTTCTAGAGTTTTAAAATTAGTAAACATAAAACCAGATCGCCTTCCTTCAGTTTCAACAGTTAATAACATGAATATTGAAAGGCTTATCGCCTCACAAAAACATTTGGCAGAAGTACTGCCACATGAGGAAAATTTGTGCCTGTTATCAGACGAAACGTCTAAATTTGGGAAAAAAGTTGAAGGTTTTCATGTAAGAACAGAAAACAAGCAATACTATACATTAGGGTTAAGACAAATTGTTACAAAGTCAGGACAGGACACTATGGGAGCACTAAATAATATACTTAATGATATTGAAACAATTGGACACAATTGTGATGATGAGAAAAGGAAATCCATTATTTTAAATATAAGTTCAACTATGTCTGACAGAGCAGCAACACAAGTTAAATTTAATGACATTTTACAATCATATAGGACAGATATTTTGAAAGAACAAATGGGAGAAAACTGGCATTTATTAAATGATGGAGAGCAAAAATCTTTAACATCACTAAATAATTTTTTTGTGGACTCCATGCTCTTGTACATATTGCAGAAACAGCGAGCGAAAGTTTAAAAATCATTGAAACTGGTCATTTTGATAAAGAAGTTCCAATATATGATTCAGCTTTTAGATTACATGAATCTGGAACAGTGAGATTAATTCGCACTGCCAGCAAAGCGTTTTCTTGTGGTGGGGATGCCAAGAGTGGTGTTTATGGACATTTTACCACTTTCAGCAAAGATTTCTTGAATAAAAACAAAATGAAAAGTGTGCCGATACAACGGTATCATGGGAATAGGTTCAATATTCTGTTTGAAAATGCAAGTTATGTGTATTTTATGCATGAAAAAATTAAAGAATACCTTGACTTTGATGCCTCAAACAGATTACTTCTATCTGTTAAACATGATGTTAATACTGATTTTGTTCTTGCTGGTGTCAAGGCATTAGGGTTGATACATTATTTCATAACGTCACCATTGTGGTCATTTATTGAACGAAAGGATGTTCATGTAATAGAAAGTTGTGTTTTTTTTGACAAAATATGTGTTTACATTGAAAATTCAGGAAAAGATGTTGATAATTTTATTGAAGGTAAATTGATGTTAGAGGGGGAAAATATTCATAGAAGTAAATCTGATGTCATTTTATACTACTTGTTATACCCCCATAAACGAAGTTTGGGGGGGGGGGGTATATAGGAGTCACCCGGTGGTCGGTTGGTCGGTCGGTCGGTCGGTCGGTCGGTCCAGACGTCCGTTGCATTTTCCTTGTCCGGACCATAACTTGAAGACTAATGGTTGGAATTCAATATAACTACATACAATGGTCAAGCACATTGAGAGGAAGTGCAGTGCACAAGAATCATAACTCTATCTTGACTAATTACAGAGTTATTGCCCTTTGTTACTTTTCCTTGTCCGGGGCATAACTTGAACACTACTGGTTGGAATTCAAAACAACTTCATACAATTGTCAAACACAATAAAGGGGAAGTGCAGTGCACAAGAACCATAACTCTATCTAAAGTAATTACAGAGTTATTGCCCTTTGTTACTTTTCCATTGCTTTCTTTTGTCCGGACCATAACTTGAAGACTAATGGTTGGAATTCAATATAACTACATACAATGGTCAAGCACATTGAGAGGAAGTGCAGTGCACAAGAACCATAACTCTATCTTGACTAATTACAGAGTAACTGCCCTTTGTTACTTTTCCTTGTCCGGGGCATAACTTGAACACTACTGGTTGGAATTCAAAACAACTTCATACAATTGTCAAACACAATAAGGGGAAGTGCAGTGCACAAGAACCATAACTCTATCTAAAGTAATTACAGAGTTATTGCCCTTTGTTACTTTTCCATTGCTTTCTTTTGTCCGGACCATAACTTGAAGACTAATGGTTGGAATTCAATATAACTACATACAATGGTCAAGCACATTGAGAGGAAGCGCAGTGCACAAGAACCATAACTCTATCTGGACTAATTACAGAGTTACTGGCCTTTGTTCCTTTGCTTTGTCCGGGGCATAACTTGAACACTACTGGTTGGAATTCAAAACAACTTCATATAATTGTCAAACACAATAAGGGAAAGTGCAGTGCACAAGAACCATAACTCTATCTAAAGTAATTACAGAGTTATTGCCCTTTGTTACTTTTCCATTGCTTTCTTTTGTCCGGACCATAACTTGAAGACTAATTGTTGGAATTCAATATAACTACATACAATGGTCAAGCACATTGTGAGGAAGTGCAGTGCACAAGAACCATAACTCTATCTTGACTAATTACAGAGTTATTGCCTTTTGTTACTTTTCCTTGTCCGGGGCATAACTTGAAAATTATTGGTTGGAATTCAAAACAACTTCATACAATTGTCAAACACAGTAAGGGGAAGTGCAGTGCATAAGAACCATAACTCTATCTAAAGTAATTACAGAGTTATTGCCCTTTGTTACTTTTCCATTGCTTTCTTTTGTCTGGAGTATAACTTGAAGACTAATTGTTGGAATTCATTATAACTTCATACAATGGTCAAGCACATTGAGAGGAAGTGCAGTGCACAAGAACCATAACTCCATCTTGACTAATTACAGAGTTACTGCCCTTTGTTACTTTTCCATTGCTTTTGTATGTCCGGAGCATAACTTGAAGACTAATGGTTGGAATTCAATATAACTTCATACAATGGTCAAGCACATTGCGAGGAAGTGCAGTGCACAAGAACCATAACTCAATCTTGACAAATTACAGAGTTATTGCCCTTTGTTACTTTTCCTTGTCCAGAGCATAACTTGAAAACTACTGTTTGGAATTCAATACAACTTCATACAGTTGTCAAGGACATTAAAAGGAAGTGCAGTGCATAAGAGCCATAACTCCTTTTTGACAAAATACAGAGTTACTGCCCTTTGATACTTTTCCTTGTCTAGAGCATAACTTAAAACGTACTGGTTGAAATTCAAAACAACTTCATACAATGGTCAAGCACAAAAAGAGGAAGTGCAGTGCACAAGAACTATAACTCCATCTTCAGTATTTATAGAGTTATTGTCCTTTGTTCCTTTTCTTTGTCTTTCTGGACTTATTACAGAGTAATTCAATAAAACTTCATCAATGGCCAACCACATTGAAAGGAAATGCAATATACAAGAACCACAACTATCTTTAATTGCCCACAACCAGAACTCTATATTTCAATTCTTTTACAAGATATTCTGTTTCTAGTAACATCCTCATTTCCGAAGCAGTCTTGTGGGGGTATTAATCACATTTAGTGATAGTTCTAGTTAAGTCAGTCAAAATATGATAGTGATGTGGCATTAATACTACAATCAATGTTGCCTGCAATTTTAAATTTAATGGTTAACATTTTTACTGACTACATTGGAGATGGAAAATGGGCAAGCTGTTCATCAGAAATAAAGGCTGGTACAAAAGCTGTACCTATGCACAACAAATATTCAGAATCATTGTTTGGACATGTAGATAGATTGCTCAGAGAGAAACCAAACATTTCATTTATTTCTCAAGAGGCATACATCATGTTCTGTCACAATAGAACCAGTGACTGGCTCGGCTCCTTGAAATGGACGAGAAGAAAAAACAAGAAATCTTGAATGAGTGTAGGAAAGAAATGAAATCACTGAGGATTAAGTTTAAAGAAAGAAGGAAAGAGATTGAAGAGAGAAGGAAAGAAATAATGAAACAAAAAATAAGAGAGAAAGAGGAGAAAGAAGCCAGAAAAGTTAGAAAACTGGAAAAAACACACAGAAGACATAATAGAATGGGGAATGTGGCAATCAGACTTACAGGCAGACAATAATTATGTTTGTGTAAAAATGAGAATGATAAGAAGAAGGCACTGAAAGCTCAGCTACATTTTCGTCAAAAAGTTTTACATCAAACACTCACTGGAAACAAAGATGTATATAAATTGTCAAAAAAAGTGAATGGAAAAAGCAAACCACTAACTGTATCAGAATTGCTTACGAATGTGAAAACACTGATCCATCATGCTTTAACATTGCCATCAAATGACAGTGATGAAGTAGTGCTTGTTGGAAGAAACATTTCCATGAACTTCTTGCTAGATGATTGTCAGTCACAGTGGTTTGAAGGACATGTTATTTCAAAGGTACATATTTAGAAGAAAAAAAGCATCAAATTACACACCCAACATCTTATGGAATGCAGACACAGATTAATTATAATATGGAAGAGGGACATAAATGACCTTAAAATCACAGTTTCAGTGGTATCATTGAAAACAAACCAAATGACAATTCACAAAGCACAGGTGATTGGAAGAAACTCACAATGATGATGGTGTTTGAAAAAACTTCACAAATACTAACAAGTTTTATGATAGACTATAATGAACTGATTAATTGAAGTTGCATTTTAAATGAATGCAACATGTTTATGATAAAAAGACATCACACTAATATACATATGTTCACTTACTTTGCACATAATTGTTTTCATATATTGCATGGTTATCCATTTAAGAATCATTTATGAATAATAATAATTGTAATGCATAATGAAAATTGAGAGGGAAATACAATTATCTTTAGTCATAGATAATAACTGGAAATAACAGTCATAGATAATAACTGGAAATAACAATGATAATTTTACCTATTTGGGTTTTTTCTAGAGTCATTTAATTAATTTTAAGTTGAATTTTAATATCCATTCTTTTTTATTATTTATAGCATTTCAAAAACATTGTATCCATTCATGTTAATTTTAACTTTTCATCTGCATATTTCAGGTACCAGGATATCCATCTTGGTTCAATGTCAAATTTAATGGTGATCGGGCAGTATATACATATGAGCTATTGAAGGATCTCAAGAACAAGGATCTCATTATCAAACCGTGACAGAAGTAGGTTTATTAATTGAACTTATCTTACATCACATATCAGTGTGATAGAAAATTTATTGTATTCATTTATGGTTTTGATTTTTTACCATGATTTTTCTCAGATGATTAATTAACTACATGTTATGTTTGACATTAAAAAAATAATCAATCAAGGCAAATGATTTTTTGACCTCTCATCCCTTTTTTGTAATAAATATGAATTCAAAGGTCCAGTTTCAAGTAAACACATTTGACAGTAATTGAGAAATTGACATATTCAAACATAAAAATTATATATAAGCAGATGGGCATGTAACTTTCCCCCTAAGTATATACTTCTTCAGTATTTTTGAAATAATATTGTAATATGTATTAATATGTTGGTCAAATTTAAACCAGTCTCTTTCATTTTTTGTTTAATGGCATATATTTTCAAAATTTCAACTTCTATTAAATTTTTACATGTTAATCATCCACTTAAAGTTTATTTAAGTCAATGAAATGCTTAACTAAGTACAGCTTTGAATAAGTATTGTGCTAATTATAAACATACAATTCATATCATCAAGATTATTTATAAATATATTGATATTTAAGGTAGAATATAGGTTGACAGAATTTTTTTTCAAGATATTAAAACATACTACTTTCTAAAATCTATAAAGTGTAATCTACTGCTTTAAAAATATCAGAAATGCATTTCTTATCCATAAAGAGACACTTATATACCAAATTTTTTTTTTTTTAAAATTTTAAATTTTTTCGTTGTTATCGCTATCAGCGGGCATATTTAAATAACAAATTGTTGTCAGACACATTTTCAAGCAAAAGAGTATCGGAACAGACATTAGATGTCAAATATATACATTCGTTTAACATTATCTCTGTTTCTGTTTACATCTAAAACCACGTGGTAGAACTATTTTCAATCCGTATTGTTTACGAGGTTATTATAGATAATAGCCGAGGCAGTTCCGAATGAAGTTGAGGATAGCGGGGTTCGAACCGTACCCGTTGAAATATTTCGAGAAATGGCGTTACTTTACGTATGGCATAAAATACTTTTTAATTTTATCCTTATTACTTTAAAGGATATACAGGTTTAAATTGTTAAAATAGTAAACACACAGGTCTCCGTATTTTTTTTATACTGAAAGTAATAAAAGAAATACATCTTAAAGAAGATTATATTCAATCATTTATTTGTTTTCTTTTAGTTCCTTATCAGTTACTAATTATTTATTCTTATGAAGTGGTTTGCCTGCCCCTGCTCTGCCTTATGCCCTGTCCTATTTTTGTTTGGGGTCCTCCTGGGCTCCTTGCCAATGACGCTTGGTACTGGGTCGGGTGGGGGCTGCGTTCATTGAACGCCGCCTTTCCTTGTCGATCTTGTTTATCATATTTAATGCCGGGTTATCAAAGATTAAGAAAATAGACTTACCTATGATTAAGACACAGGCATATAATCTGATGCTATATCCATCCATATCCTCTAATATCCGTGTACGTTTAGTCACAGGAAATTGACATTCTATAAGCAAATGATTAAAAAATAATGACAAATAAACCCCTTTACACAAGGAATGCAACGCCTTCTGTACACTAGATACACATTTTATCTTATTTAATACACACGTTGAAAATCAATATCAACAAACTAGTTTAGCAATTTCTACGGAAGCCCATTGAGGCCGTTTTGAGGTTAGATCTTAGAACTTAGATCTTAGAACTTAGGTCTTAGCTCTTAGAACTTTGAGGTACCGTATGGGCGGGAAAACGCCATATTTACTACAAGATAGACAAGAAGATGTGAGATAAACTTTTTATTACATTTCTTTATTTCTATTTTTTTATTTAAAGAATTACAGAGAAATAGCTAGAATGTTAAAAGATTAAGCGATTATATATTATAAATAAGGACCGGGTAAAAACAACCAATTTCAATAGGAGACAAAGGTCGATTAAGCTATCTCCAACAGGCAGGGACAAATCAACCCCATAAGTAGCTATTTCAACCAGTTATAGTTATTTTAGCCGAACCTGGCTACCATAAAAATGTTTGATGACGGACACAAGCTTTGAAACTGATATATCTGCTGCCTGTATTTATGTAATTACCCAATTATCAAATTTAAAACAGTATTTAAATTGTGTATCTAATAGTTTTATAATAATTATAAAATGTCGGTTTTCTAATGTGTATTAAAATAATTTGTTTATTTTTTCTATTGCAAAATCTTCTTCTTTCCTTTTCCGGACGACGAAAATCTTTTCTACATGGGCATGGATGCTTGGAATTGGCTTTTTTAACACCAGTTTCTAGTGTTGTGATCATGGATTTAGCTGTTTACTCAGAGGGGCGCATTTAACAAGCCTAGAACTGATTAAGAATTACTTATCCATAGTTTATTTTACAAGTATATTAAACTAATACTGAAAGCTAACAAAATTATCCAACGCAAAATACGTACACCAAAGGACGATTGAAGGGACCCCATTATTGTAGTAATCCAGAGGAGTGCCGAGTGGTAGGTTTCGAACGATGTAGCACAAACTGGAGACTGACTACCGGTTGCAATGTGCAGAGATTTTGTGATGAGGCTATTGTCACGAAGCGATCCTGAACGCAAAGCCACCGATCAACTCGGCAAAGATATGTCTCGAAAGGTCTTTACTTTGTGTTGTATGTAAATGGTTACGACAAGTTAAAGCTATATAGATTCTGCATCCACGGAGCGATCGACGGGTACAGTCTTTCGAAGTATCAAACAGCAACAACTCGCCCGCATTGATAGCGTCATATTGCCTTGACACATTAAACTAATTAGGCATTTTTCCAAGTTCCTAGTTCATCGTTCTTGTTTTAATTTCAAGTACATGTGCATGTATGTTTTGAATATAACTGACGGATCAAGAAACGCTATATTTTCTTAAACTTTTAACTAAACGTTTAAAAATAAGTATTTTGTTAATTCTTTATTTTCGATGTTTATTTCATCTGAACCATGCTTACAAGAACATCAAATTTTTCCCTTAGCAGCCTTGGTTAGGAATTTCTTCAATATAAGGGAAAATTGTTAGATATGCATTCCATTTGTTAAATGATCATTTTGTTAAGATTTTCAAGGTTAAAATTACTTTAATTTATAGGTATGATTTTATTTGATATTTTAAAATATGATATGATAATTCATTTTGATATCGTTCGACATGACGACGAGTGAAGTTTATGATTAACCTGTCCGTGCTCTGTCTTTGCCCTGTCCTGTTTTTGTTTGTGGTCCGCCTGGGCTCATTGCCACTGGTTCTTGTGGCTGGGTCATAATATTATGGGGGTTGCGTTCATTGAACGCCGCCTTTCCTTGTTGATCTTGTTTATCATATTTCGTAGGAAGTCAGCCATTAAAAAAGAACTATGTGGCTCTGTGTAGCCAAATTTATTTCTTCAGAATAATTCTTAGCATATCATCCGTGAATGGTATCATACGAAATTTTAATATGAATATTTGATGTAGACCTACATATATCATTGATCTTTACCAAAAATATAATTGTAACAGAGCTGAAGTATTAACGGTTTCTGAAGTTTGCACGTGGATATGCTATTAACAAGTTCTTGTCGAGATAGAGATATTCTTTTTTTGTGATAAACGAGATACGTGTCTTGTATCATGTTTTGCAGTTTACTGCTACTTGAATAAAGTTTTATGTACGATAACGGAGTTATGTTTCCTTCTTTTTGCTCTTTCAAAACCGATTTTTTAAAATTTTTAATGTCTAAGTTCTAATAACTAAGTTCTAATAACTAAGTTCTAATGTCTAAGTTCTAAGAACTAATTTCTAATGTCTAAGTTCTAAGATAGTTGAACCATGTTTAGGCCACTTAGTAAGTCCTTCACTGCCACTGCCCCCCTTTGGACCACCTATTTGAAGCCCTAAATTTTGATCGATCGAGACAGGGTCTCAGCTTTGATATACTCAGATTTTGTCTATACATGTTGGCCGCGCATTTAACTAGTCTGAAAGGTATGCGCAAGTGCAGATGTATCGTGTGATCTTCTGATGCTGACACTTCTTTGAACAAAAGGCCGACACACACAGAGCACAGAACAATAGCAATCAATAAACGTACTGCATATAAACCAAAAATGCTTTTGCAATCTGTGATTTGCCTAATCACTGCAATTTAAAGATCCTGTAACACAATTTTTTATGGTTTTAAATCATAAATACGATGCTCAAATTAAGATTGATCAATATTTCAATATTACAGGTTCCCAAAAGCATTACTTATAAAGATATAACCGAATTTAACATTTCATGTTAATAAAGGGAGGTAATAAAATCTTTATTTTCTATAAAGTTTAAGTCAAATTTTACAATAACAAATGAATGCATATATTTTATGATTACATATAATATGCACAAATATTTGCAGTACATATTTTACATATTCTTTGATGTTGAAAAAGTTTTATTTGCATAATTATGAACATTTGTACATATATATAGTTTCACTTATTGTGGTTTACCACTTTGATCACAACATACATGATCTTTAAGGCAACATGCAACTATAACCACAATAATTGCATGAGGCTTTTATAAAATCGCTATGGATTCTTTCATTATATTTTTGCACGCTTAATATCTAGTATTATAGCTTAGCCTAGTTATAAAACAATTGCTTGGTAAGGTACCCTGCCAATTTGACGACCATAAACTTAAATTGTTAGATTATATTTTTTCTATTCAGTAATGAAATGTCCTTGTGAATATACTGATGGCCATGAGCAAGTCACACCATCAATCATTTGTGCAGAATTATGCACTTTTGTCACCTTATGAAAATTGTAGCAAATGGCACTTTATTTCAATACATTTAATATACATATGTATCATGGTAACCCAAATCAGTATTAAAACGCTGATAATTTCATCAAATATTCGTTAATATTAAGACAATGGTTATCTTTTATTTAAGTGGCCACTGTGATCTTGACCTGGTAGAAATGGAAACACGGAAGAATTCGCCGCTGATACAAAGTGAACATAAATGTAATTTTAAATGTAGAATAGACACACAATTTGATCGGACCATTTATTGAAGCTCTGACTACACCAGGCGTTCCTCATAAACAGTAATCTTGAAACAGTTCAATAGGTTTTTCAACAAGATTCCAGGCATCATTTAGCACAAAAAGGATAATATTTGGGGTCTAAAGTCACATAAAACTATGTTAGAATATAATATATAATCAATAATATAATTAATATAATAATTAATAAATAATATAATTTATTATTAATAATTATGAATGCCAACACCAAAACCAATTACATGTTCATTTTAAGTCATTGTAAATGCTCCACAATCATCTGTAAAAAATTCAAGGTACAATGTTAACGATTCGTTTAATGGCTTCAAAGGCTTTCCGTTATTCGACGACAATACGCGAGCAATTTCTCGGTTTCGTTTCAATGAGGCCGTGTAAATGATCCGTTCTAGCACATCTGTATGTCTTCTTGTTCAACACGATGACAAAAGTTATGCCCACCATATATTCCAGGTACAAAATACATTATATCAGGTCTTCCGAAAGGTCTTTCAAAACTCCTTTGGGTTTAGCTTACATGTATAGTTCTGCTTGGATCAAATCCATAAAACAAAATCTTAGACATTCACTGTGTACACGATTTATTATATCCAAACTTTGATTGAATGAGATCCTTGAAAAATGAAATCCACAAGTACAACCTTGTCTACGAAGTAATCCCTACCAGTATTCTAAACGCCGATTTGCTACACTATTTCCATACATAAAACTTTTCAATCATGATACACTTTCTGTGCCGTTATATTTGAGAATTTTCAGTTCGTCTGGGTAGTATGACGTTGATACTGTTCGAGCCAGAAAATGAGTCGACTGTACAGATCGCTCCGAGGATGCAGAATCAACATGACTTTAACTTGTCGTAACCATTTACATGCCACAACAAGTTGATCGGTTCTAGTCTTGTAAATGCGCCCCTTGGGAATGGCAGCTACAACACTTGTTATTTGTGTAGTAGCAAACAGCCAAACTCCAAACCTAGCTACTAATTTATAAACCATTTTCGTCGTCCGGAAAAGGGATGAAGAAGATTCTGAAATAGTAAAAATAATCAAATTATTTTAATACACATTAGAAAACATTAGGTTCAACGCTTACAAGTGCCCCTCATCATAGATTTTTTGGTAGCCAGGTTCGGCTAAAACAGCTTGAACTGGCTGAAATAGCCACTTATGGAGTTTGTACCAGCCTGTTGAAGATAGCTTCGTCGACCTTTGCCTCCTAATGAAATTGGTTGTTTTATGCCCGGTCCTTATTTATAATATATAATCACTTAATCTTTTAACGTTCTAGCTATAACTCTGCACAAGCGATGAACCTGTTGCCTATATTTATGTAATTTTCAATTATCAAATTTAAAACAGTATTTAAAATTGTGTATCTGTTAGTTTTATGATAATTAAAAAATGTCGGTTTTCTAATGTGTATTAAAATAATTTGATTATTTATCCTATTTCAGAATCTTCTTCATCCCTTTTCCGGACGATGAAAATGGTTTCTAAATT